CATGTAAGTAAAATCCATGAACTTAAACTGTAGATGAATTCCCTATTCGCAAAAATGTTTTCTGCAATTTTAGGATAGAAGAACAAGGACACATTATGTCTGCCTTTAGAAGGATCCTTTCTCCAGTGCTTTTGTCGACCTTATTACTTTCTCTTTTATTTTCCTCGAGATATAATCAATTTCAAAAGGAATTAATTCTTCCAAAAATAAATGTTCCCGGGCATGATATTCAAGTTACAATTAAGACTTTACTGGCGTAAAGTAGGAGAGAGAGCAACCTAATGGTAGGAGAGAGGGATGGGAGGGATCGGAGGCAGCACCGGTAGTACGCTCGACCCAGATTAAATTCACAAACTCATTCGACGTAACAACGTTATCCTTTGTCCGTGAAATCGCGAGATGTAAAAGTTGTTGTCGTTGCATGTAATTTGCATGTGATCGAATTTTTGATTAGATATTTTTTCGTACTCATATTCAAAAGAGCCCAAATCGGAATGAAAATGATCATTAATTATTAATTTTACTAGGTAGACGAAGTAAGAAAGGAAATGATACGAACAGAATGTTCATTGAAGTAGGATTTTCGTATGTACAGATGCAAATATGTATCGTGTATTTTTACAGTAACATTTTATCGACGTGAAGATTTGTTTTTTTTTTAATTTTCTTGTTTTTTTTTTGTCTATACGTAAAGTACAGATGGATTTAAAGGAGTCGTTAGAACAAAGTATTGTTCGCTAAACGAAACCTGAAAACTACGGTAGCGCGCTTGGTAGCCAGCCACTCTCGGCTCTGCTTTAGAGTACGATCGATCGATGCACCGACATTTCACCTGTCTAAAGCCATACCACCCGCCTCTTCCTCTTCCTCTCTCTTTCCTTCCCCGACCTTCGTCTCATCACGAAGGTTTCTAGCTCTCTAACAAAAAGTAACTCGAGCTAATCTCCGAGAATATGTTGTATTGCTTTTTTTTCTTTCTTTTTATTTCTTTTTCTTTCTTTTTTGTTTTTTGTTTTGTTTTGTTTCTTTTTTTTTAGATTGTTAATGAAGCTACGATATTTTCTGTATTTTTAGATAAAAATACTTTGTTGATATTTTATCATCCTTCCAATTATTTTTCTGTCGAACGAAAGAAACATTTTTTACATAATCATTCTGTTGGCAATTATAAACGAGTTTCGAATTACTTATCGTCCTTAGCGATATTTATTATTTCCACGAGCGGTATTAAAACAAGATAAGAGAATAAGGAAGTAAGTAGTACGTATATATGTGTTTATACGTATATATATACATGTATATATACGTTGTGCGATAAAATTGTTCGCGTGAGGGCTAAATACACTGATACGTACGATTATGTTTACGGCCATGTCCCGATCGCAAACGACGGTCAATGAGTCACTCTCACCTTTGTAAGAGTAGCCGTTAATAAGAAAATCACGTAGAGTACGAGCTTCGAATTGTTGACACATCAAAAAGAAAAAAAAAATCCAAAAATTCTTTCGCAATTTTCAAAATATTGTGTCAATTTCAAACTATATTTACGTAAGATAACAATTATTTGTTTGATGTATGATATCTTGCAATAAAATGAAAGAAATATTACCTTTGTTGATGCTTTTGTTTATTATGAAAATAAAAATAATATAAAAGAAAGAGTGCGAAATATATTTAAAAATTAAGATTAAAAGTTGAAATTATTATTTCAAATTAAGATACATTTATTTTTGTTGTTCGCTTTCTTATGATAATTTCAGCATATAAAGTAGCCTTGCAATATTCATGAGCTCGTCTGCAACATTTAATACATCAAATTCACTCTTCATCAACACAAAGAATACATATTCTTCGTTGTTATTCAATTTTGATTAAGAACTATCTTTTTTGTCAGCTTGCTCGTTTTTTATATTTTACAAGTATCTCATATTATAGAAACAACTTAGGGGGAGTATATTAAAACATCCTGATTTCGAAGAAAAAGATAGATTAATCTGTGAATAGTTTATTAATATTTTATTTAAACGATAATCAAATGATTTAATAATATTAATGCTTGTTAAATTATAATAGTTATAATATATATAGTATAGTTATAGTAGTAATAATATTACTGTATATTAGTACTATAATACTAATTACTACTACTAGTATTAGTTACTAGTTGCTTACTTAGTATTATAGTTATAATAGTAATAATATTACTATATATTAGTACTATAGTACTTATTACTACTACTAGTATTAGTTACTAGTTACTTACCTAGTATTATAGTTATAATAGTAATAATATTACTATATATTATTACTATTATATATTTATATTACTATATATATTACTATTATATATATTATATTATTACTATTACTATAGATATAGTTATAATATTAATGCTAATAAAAAAGAAACCTTACTTTTAATTCTATACACATAACTTTTGTGTTGTGTTCCCATATAAACAGTAATCTCATTCAGATGATATTCTCATTTGTTTTAATAGTTTTAAGGATTGTAATCCTTTCCTTTTGGAAATATTACGGTATTATCGTACAGTTCTCCGTTACTGTATACAACGTGTTACAAATATTTCAACACAGTAGGAATAATTTAGCATTAATAGATTTAAATTTGAAAATGAAATGCAAATATGACGAAGGAGGCTTTGACTAGGTGTGCACACGATCTTTCTCGTTGTAACGTATGTAAACGACACTGGTAAGCATAGAACAAGTTTGGAACTTGTTGCCTGAACGGCTGTGCATTCGATACGGTCTAATTAAGTTTCTAACGTTCAAAACGTAGTAACCGTAAGTCGTCGTTAAGCTTTTTTTGATAATTCACATCTCAATTTATCAGCTCGTTTGACAAAATGTGAAATTTTGAAATGATGACAACATCAAAGACGATATTCTTCTCTTATCGTATACTGCTTTCTTCGAGAGATTCTCTCGCGGATATAATAAAAATAGAAAATTCTTTTTTCCCAGATCTTTCGTAAGTTATAAGGATAGCAGGAAAGCAGATTCCACAATGAGCGAGTGATCCGCGCGTTAATTAGGACCGACCGCTTAATTGAGCGTTTCGGTCGCGGCGTTCGTTAGTGGAAAAATAGTAGATAGAAAGGCGCCATAAAAGAGAGTGAGAAAGAGAAAGAGAGAGAAAAAAGTAGTACTGCTGGCACAGAGAAAACTCTATTCCGCAATTTCCTCCTCCTTACGTGGGAAACGCATAATTGCGTGAAAGAGGTCGGTTCTTTTGACTCGGTACTCGATATCATAGTAAATCAAATGATTAATAAAATGATATGCTTGATAGTTTGCTTTAACCAAAACACTAAGAAAGTCTACGATTCTTAGAAGATCTTCTTATTCTCCTACTTTCTCGGCTCTTCTTTCACTTTTATATTCAAGAAAATCTCTTGTTTATATTGAACAAATCATCGTTCTTACTTATTCGAACTATTTCGTCGAATTATATTATTAATCGTTTCTTTTTTATTTGTACGTTTTAATTGAATTGTTCGTATTATTATAGTTAAGATATTTTGCTCGAATTTATATCAATTTAGTTCCTTTCCATTTGTGCTTTTCTTACATCAACTTTTAATATATTATTTTTATTCAAGTCCCCAGTTTTTGTAACTTTCTATTCCCTTTATTAGTGGAGGAGGCACACTTTCAAGGAGCCTCCTTGGATAACGACCCTCTTTCGTATGCAAAGTCGCAAACCGTAACGCGCGTAGTCATTAAACGTTTCTAAAAAGTAATCTCTCTTGTTCTGTCTTTTGATAGAACCCAATATCGTACATAATATTTCAAGTCTGCAGTTTATAACATTAACAACGCTTTAGCTTACAAAATTTAGAGAAGACTTATAAAAGATGGGGAAAAAGAAGGGTGAAGGTGTAAGGGTGAATGTGACGATCAAGAAAAAGGAAGGTCCAACGAATTTGCATTTCAATTTGTCCTGCAGGTGTGCTGTATGCGGATATGCGCAACATTGGGCATAGCACTCCCCTCGGAAGGTTTTCATTTTCGAAAAGGGAAAGAAAAAAATGGACTATGGACAAAATGCGTACATGCGGGACCGACATCGACCTAATCTTATCCCTTTGCGCACTGATCGTACGTCATTACAGTTACTCGCGAGCTAAACTTATTTTTTAAAAGATATTATATTTTTTTCTTTGCATAATATTACAATGCAATGGCGGTCACCGTTAGACGGAAAATAATACCGTATTACAGATCGTTGATCAAATCAAACAATAAGAGGACTTTATCGTTTAATAGAATTTCAAGAAAATTGGATCAGTCGACCATCGTCGGGTTTTCTATCTTAATTAAGTTTTGTCGTCGCCAATATCGTCAACGATAACGACAACAGTAACGGTTCAAACAGGGGAGCACAATATTAGCATAATGAACGGCCATTCTAGAGTCGGTATTTATAGTTTTCGCATAACTATCGATTGTTATTGCGACAAAAGAGAAAAACGAATAAAAAAAATCCCGATGAGGGTAAATATCAATAATGAATAAACTCAAGCAACATTTACAGAAAGAATCTACCCTTCCCATTTCCTTCATTGTGTTTGTCTCTTCCAGCAAAAGAAATGTGGAATCTTTTGGATTCTTCTTGACACTGGACGTTTTGCTTTATTCGCGTGAATTCTGCTTTTCTTAGGGTTTCTAAACACGCTACAGTAAATAAATAAATGCTATTTGCTCCAAACGACAAATGGGGGAAGAGTAAAGGGAAAAAAATCTTCTATTATGTCCCAGACCACTTTAATTTAGACTCGATCTCAGATTTAATTTAGATCGATTCTCAACACTCCAAGAGACCCAAATACATTGTATATTTGCTTTCACGGTTCGTCGTAATTTCTCGATTTATTTTGCATCCTGTTCCAAACAATGTTGATGTCTAACAAAGTCCACGCTTATATTTATTTTATATAAAAATAAAGTTATATTAGAGAAAGGCATTATTTTACCTCAAAGCACTTGCTCGTATGGTCTTCATGGCTCTCTTGGTTCGGTCTTCTTCTCTTGTAAATACGAGGTCGTCTTTGAAAGGGAGGGCGGTTCTCCTTCTCTTCGACGATACGCCGCCGCCACTGATCGATCTTTTCGAAACACAGAAAAAGAAAGGCGGAAAGCGTCTCTTTCACTCGGAGCACTCACGACGAACTGTGTATCACTTTCCTCGCTTTAACGGCTAGATCGTATATTAGACGCGTAAACAGTTTTCGAATAAACGATTGAAAACAAAAACAAACGTCGATCTGAAGCATGCGCGGCGTTACTACTGCACAAGATGTTTTTCGATGTATTCCAGTGAATCACAGGTGTATCGATTATTTATTTTTCGATCGCCAAAAAATACAAAACAAAAAACTTTCCAAAAACTCTTTTATATTATTATAATAATATATCCGTCGAAAAATATAATTGACATAGATTCACGTATATTAATCCATTTTTCTTCTTGCTGCGGTCATTTGAAAAGTGGAAAATGCGCGGAGCGTTTCTTCCAAAGTTTGCGCGAGCCCCGACTGACAATGAGAAAGCTTCATGAGCCACTCGAGGAAGTTAGTTATGGCGAGAGAGGGACTCAAAGTGGCCGCGTAAACTTCCCTCCTTTCTTCCCTCCTTTCTCTCCTTCGCGACTCGCTTACGCCTTCTTCGCTCGGCTAATAGACGAGCAAGCTTCTTTTTACACTCTACCCGTGCCGTTCTCGTTGTTACAACGGCTCTAAACGTCATACAAGACGTTTCTCGCTCATTTTACGCGCGCCGTTTCGTCTCAAGCGACTTCTCTTTGTCGCTAAGAAAAGAAGGAGCTCTTTTTTACTCTTTTTTTTTTCTTATCTCTTCTCCTACCTTTCCTACCACTTTACTTTCTCTTACCCTATCTTCGGACTCGGTAGTTTTTTTTCACTCTCGTTTAAAAATGTGATGAACCACGTGACAAAGTCGCGTTGAATCCATGACGATGACCTTGAGAAGGAAGACTACTTTCTTTTCTCAATCGAGCAAAAACTTCAATGATCAAAAACAATTTCCTTCGTATAAATGCAATGTTGTCTTTTTATTTACGAATTGGAAGGATCGTTTTGGTAATGCATGCAACGTCCAAGGTCGCATGGAAAGATGGACATCCCTGTGTTTCGTTTGGAACCGAAAAAGGATCAATAAAAAAACATATGAAAAAGGGGGTTTGTAAGACAATCAAAAGGAAGATGAAGTTCGAAGAGTCAGTCAGCAGGTGCCAGTTGACGGAAGGCTTGTGTCGGTAAAGGAGGGAGTAACTACTCGCGATCCGTTCGAAGTAGAAAAAGGAAGGGAAAGGGTAGAGAGGACTGGTTTTACGTGAAACCTCTCGACCCGACCAGCCGGACTGCTACGTTACAACCGCGCGAGGCGGCCGCGAGGGAGGCACGGGGAAATCGAGAGGGAGGCGAGACGGAACTGACAGGGAGGACAAGAGGGAGGCGCGACGAGAGTATGGTGAGCGGACACAGCAGCGTTAGGTCCCGTTCTTCGGAGAGAGGCTTACTCCATGGAGCGCGAGGAAGTACTGTTACTTGCAGAGAGAAAGGGAGAGAAAGAGAGAGACAGAGAGAGAGAGAGAGAGAGAGAGAGAGAAAGAGAGAAAAAAAGAGAGTCAGAGAGAGAGAGAGAGAGAGAAACGAGGCCCGCGGCGTGGTGCACCGGCAAAACGCGCCAGATCCAGATCTGGTCGATCGTCCAGAGTTGATCAAAACGTGTTACAGCCTCTTAGCTCCTTCTACTTTCTTTTCGCTCACTCGCTGTCGATCGACTTGCCTTTTCCTTCCTCTTTACTCCAAGCCGGTGTGTACACCGTGTGTATCTATTTGTATATGTATGTATATATGTCACAAGTATTACCACCTTTTGTGCCTTTTACCGTACCCTTTTACCGAAGCTTTTGTTTACGATCGTCGCACTTTTCACTCATTGGGTATATTAAACGAATGGCCGGACGTGAATAAGTGAGAGCTACTATTCCACATGAATGAATTTTTCGAACCTTCTTTTTATATTCCTTTTTCTCTTTTTTTCACCCTTTTCTTTTTCCTCTCTCTCTCTCTTTCTCTTTCTCTTTCTTTCTCTCTCTCTCTCTCTCTCTCTCTCTTTCTGTCACTCTATCACTCTCTTTTATGCAAAACGTCAAATCAAAAGCATCGTTGTATGTTTTTCTTGCGGTAAGTCGCGTTTTACAAAGTGAAACTGGCCTGGTTCTTTTCTCATAAAAACCACGAAATACCAAAACACCACACAAAATCTCCGCTCCGTGGTTGCGGCTCGACTGAGCGGCAAACCGCCTTCTCGCCGGTTCTGCGACGTACTCAGGTACGTACGAATGACTTTCTTTACCCAACTCCGATGGCTTTGATCAATGTTAACTGTAATGTATTTATTAATCTTCTTTTCGTCCTTTAAAGTAATATGTACCGCCTTTTGGTGTATTTTTCTAAAAGTTTTTTTAAGTACTTTAACTAAGTGCAATTTCAATGCACCATTTAAATAAATAATACTTACTTTTGGTGAACGTTCGATTTCTTATTCGGCGCGAAAGGGGATGCGCGCCAACACTGAAAACCGGAGCAAGATACGAGGAGACATTCGGTCCTGTTTACTTTCGTAACGGTATGAACTGCGTCGATGACATTTTCCTTCTTTCACGAGGTGTCCTATAATTTAAACAATATTTCTTACATAGTAGTCATTAGTCTTTGTCAATTGTTTTAATTCATTACCTAAAACTAACAATTGATCATGAGGAATATCTTGTTTATCGTTGTATTTTTAAATTGTTACAATAATTACGATTTAATTAATCGTAGCTCGAGATTTTTCTTCGAAACTATTAACTTTCTTTTTAAAATAGAAAAGTTTGAAAGAAAATCTTAAACCGGCAACCCTGCATCGAGTGTATATATACATATGTATGTACACCATCAATATAGCTATGCTCACGCTTGTATGTGACTAGAAACGAACACACGGTACTGGCGTGTGCATTGCGTGTCGTATACATACGTATGTGTAAGTGAGTGTGGAAGTCCTCCGCATATGTTCGAGCACTCGGTCGAGCGGGTGTAACCGGTTTTACCAATTTTTTTCCCGAAATATACACTCGCGATAGTTCGTAAAATTCTACGACCCTATTGTAGTCGTTCGACATCTGGAAAAGCTAGCTACGTATATATACATATATATTCATTTCATTAAATCTCTATGTCGCATGTACTACTTCAGCTTTTCTTCATTCATAAAATGTCTACAAATTTGGGGTATCAAGATCGAATTTCACAATTTTCACAAACATTAACATTGCAATGAATGATTTTATGTTTAACTGACTCAGGGGAATTCTATTTTTTCCGCTTACTCCTCGACTTTCTTTTAAATCTTTCAAAAATCCATGAAAACTTGGTTTTATGTGGATTTATCATAGAGATATATGTTGCATAATTGACACGCAACATGATATTCGAACGAAAAAAGTAGTAATACCTTTTGATTACAGTATCATTCATCCCTCAAAAGATTTCACTTTCTCAAACAAATTTTTCACGCATCTATGAAATCGATTATAGCATGAAAATTTATTGCATTAAATCGAGAACGTTAATAAAAGAGAATAAAGAATTTGTTAAGCCTCATCACAGTATTGAATTGTGTATTTTTGTTATTGAACTTTCTTCTGTCACATAAAGCTCAGTTTTCTTCAAAATTAGATTCTTTACTTCTTTTTCAAATTTTTTTTTATATATTAGAAACAACTGTATAACATATCATTGTTATTTTATTTATATTTGTAAAGTATTCACCTATATTAGTGAAATATTGTTTTGATTACTCTCCCTTTTACAGAGTCACTTTCCTTCGAACATCTAACACCTATCCTACATTTCTAAAGAGGTCGCGTCTTTTACAGACTCTCTCTGGAGCTAACAGTACACCATTTTTTTTTGTTTGTTTTTTGAAAGGGTCACCTATTTATCTATATATTAACTGTGCTCATTATTGTTTCACTTTAATGATCTATTTTAATTAATTTTTTAGGTGGTTAAGCTATTAACATGTTGGTGAAATATATGCAACATTTTTAAAAAAGAATTATTCAGTCAAATATATTTTCTGTTATAAATACTATATACTGCAATTGTAAAATATTGATATATACATATGTATATATAAATTAATTAATGCTTCAGTGATCTAGAAATGGAAAAAAGGTGATCAATTTAAAAACACTAGTGATCTAGATAAATCTAGATCAATCATAAATAACAGCAACAGGTAATACATAGCAAACAGTTGATGACAATAGATGGCAGTAGATGGCAATAGATGGTTTTTACAGAGTTTCATCGATAAAGTAGAGTTCTAAAATGATTGACTTTGTAACTATTAAAAATAGTCATTTATTATAATAACTCACGGAGGATAGATACCAGTAGTCCGAACGTAATGTTGAAAGAATGGTATCAATTTAGGGGACAAGATATATTGTCGGTAGGGAGCGCTGCTTTTCACAAAGTACTCGTTTAAATACTTACGTGGGAAGTCTTGTTGCTATTGACAGCTCTGAAAAAAAATATTTTAAGAAACGTGGAATTAATATTATTTAAAAACTACACAAATTTAATAATCAATTATTTGTTAACATAAAATTTTTAATATTATTTTGAGGTTATTCACTTTTGGTGCTTTGAATAAAGCCACTTTTCCTAAATTCTCACTTGCCTTTTTTCGGCCCCTAAGGCAACCATAAACGGCACAACACTTTCCCATTTTTTAATAAAAATAATTCTAAAAAAATAAATTAATATTTTATATTTAATTTACGTGTAGTAATAATAATAATAGTATCGGTACGCTCTGAATACTTGCGCAGCCAGTGGCAAAAAAGAGAACTATGATCTGGGTCAAGAAATGACTACCACAAAAAATGTGAAAAATCCTGGTATCTATCCTCCGTGATAACAACCTTGTATTTTGATACCAATGTTTTAATAAAAATGTATTAAGAAGAATGATATATAATAATAACAACAGATTTTTTTCTACAGTAAAATGTCAACAAAACTCAGAAATGTTCATATTATTAAATATATTTTATAATATGATAGATTTAATATTATTTTGAGGTTAGCAAAGTTTGTTACTGTCAAGTAATGAAAATACGTGTGTTTGATCTATTAAAACATTTATAATACTAAGATATTTAATGATTATACATTTGTTTATCAAATATGTAAAATTTGGAATATTACATGCTATTGCATATTAAGAAAAAGATCAATTAAATAAATTAATAACGTGAAATGGATAAACTAACAATTATTTCGGGAGCCTTATTTTTGGCAGCTGATATGTTTGCAATTGTTAGTTTGGGAATGCCTGATTGGATTATAACTGATGTTGGCGGTAAATATACAAATAAAATAGTAATTCAAAAATGGAATGTTCATTTTTTTTGGTTTATATGTAAAGATAAATCTGTTAAAAGTATATATATATATATATTTGAAAAAGTAATTGTTAAATATAGATAATATTTAGTTGTTTTTATTAACTATTACAGGAGATACACGATTAGGCCTTATGTTATCTTGTATGACATTATATAACAGGCCACAAGTTTGTTATACACCTGATTTAAAGCCTGAATGGTTATTAGCCCTTATTTTTATATTAGTCGGATGTATTTTAATAACAACAACTATAATATTGCTGATTAGTTCACATTGGGATCGTAATGTAATTCCATATGCACGATGGGTTGGATTTATAGCGAGTAAGTAGTAGTTTTAAATAAATAATATTAATAACAGTATATTCCACCATCCATACGGAATAAATTCAAATGATTTTATATATAACATACTTACTAATAATTTATTTGAAATCTTTTCAAAGTGCATATATAATATATTGTTATTACATTGTAAAATAATATTACACTACAATATTTCAGTGGTACTATTTTGCTTAGCGGCTGTTCTATTTCCAATGGGTTTTTACATTGATGAAATTGGAGGACAACCATATCAGTTACCAAATTCACATCAAGTAGGAATCTCTTATATCCTCTTCGTTCTGGCACTATGGATCACAGTTATTTCTGAACTTTTTGCAGGAAAAGTATGTTTACCACATTTTTAAAGTTACTCAATGATATATTCTAATTTTTCTATTTTTCGTATTATTTTATTTTCAATATTTAATATTATGTATCTTAAATAAGATTAAATTTAACAGTTTAGCGAGATTTTATTAAATTAAATGAAAATTTCTCAAAAAAATGACATTTCTAATCAACTATATCTATTAATTGGCTTTACTTGTGATTACTAAGCAGAAATAATAATTGAAATATTATATATATAAAAAAGTAAGCATTGTAAAGTTAAAAAATATTCGAATTACATTAAAGAATTAATAGTCTACTTATCAGTCCATTGTATTGTCAAAATTATAAAGAGCGATGTATATTTATAACAATTTCCAATTTGTTGTCCAATTTTTGTTGATATTATGATCAACCGAGAGAGTCACTTTTTTTTATAGATACATTTCAAATAGTTACAATTCGATAAACATAGTTTTTTCATGTGCTACAGAAATATACGATGAAGTAAAATATTCCTATATTGCATATATTGTATCTTAATACACATGACAGCTTATTGATAATTTATATACAATATACATTGATATTTTTTTTTTTTTTTTTTTAATAAATTCTAAATATTTATTTACAATTTAATATATACTAAATGAAAAGAAATATATTGTATTTTACTGTTTAAGTTACATACACTTGTAAAATTTCACTTATATCAAGTATTTTTATCTACATTATAAACATTTTAATTTATAGATAATGTATGTATGTATGTATTTATGTATGTATGTAAATATGATATTTTATAATTAAAATTTCTAATTTTACCATTTTTCATAACTATAATATTCTTATTTTTAAATACTTCAATTTCTTGTAAAAATACAAGAAATAAAAGTGTACATAATATTATTATACAGGTTTTCATAAAAGTGTGTGTGTGTATATATACATACATATATATCTATGTATATATACATGTTTGTTGATAAATTTACCACCATTAACGAATATAAATTTGCAGACTTTTATTCATGCAAATATTGAAAATATTGTCAGTAAATATAAATTATAGAGATGTGTAACCAGTACGAAAAAAAAATGGTTTATAATTATTTAAGGTTATCATGGTAAATATATCATCATATAATGGAGGGTCAGTTACACAATACTACCGCATAATAATTCTTACATTAATGATTAAATTGTTAATTTTGATATATAAATTGACAAAAAAAGTACTTGTTTTTTAGTTGAAAAAAATATAAAAATGCAAATACTATAAACTTTACTGTTCAAGAAAAAGCTCATTAAAAAAATGATTTTTCAATTACAGGCTGATCTTGTTATAAATATGCAAAAATGACTTTTTCATATATGGAGAAATGACATATTATTTATAGACATCTGTTTTTAACAAAATACGTGAATTTATGAATATATTTTAATGAGTTTGATGATTATTATTATATTAATTTGTTTTGTTTTGTTTTTTTATGACAGGCAGTCTGTGCTAAAGATTTTAAGGCAAAATTGGAAAATATGTTCACACTTGCCTAATAACAAACATTTTTTACTTATTGTAAATTTTTTAGTCTTATCTTTCTAAGAAATTCTAAGAAATCTCAGACATGAATAACAAATATCAAAATGTGAACAGTAAATTCTATTAGGGAATTCAGTAGATTTAACTTAAAGAAAATATTTGTACAGAACAATAACACGCAAACATCATACGTAATACGTAAAACAACTTATATAACATTCTTTTTAATAAAGCTGACCAGAATGATTCAATGAAATTCAATTCAATTAAATACGAATAACAGTGTGTTTTATATTTCAATTATAATCTAATTGAATCAAGATTTCAAGGCTATTTAAACAAGTAGGACGCGTTATTAGAAAATTATTTCTAAATGATATACGATGATGATGATAATAATAATTATTAATTCATGACAAACAATTAACATGTTATTTCATTTTGCGATGAAACAATATAGAGAAAAAGAAAATTTGACGTGATTATACAAAATTCACATTACAAATTACTTTTCCATGTAAACACACGGCCGCTTATATAATACCATCTATTCTTAGAAGAAACATATATACAAGAAATTTATATCTAAATTGTTATTTTATAAACTATAAGCATCCAACGCTAATAAAATGTGCTAGTAGTATGAACACGTGTGTTTTACCTTAGCTACTTTCACAAGTTATGTATCAAGAAAACTACGCGTAACACTAGTAACAGTTTAGTATAAATATTTGTTGAGAGTATAGTAAGAGATAAAAGGAAATAGTAATTTAAATTTTACCATACTTTATAACAAACGTTTTCTGCTTAATCAGATATAAATATCAACAATAATCGTGAAATCGTAAAAAGTGATACACTATTTGTTTGTTTTTTTTTTCTTTTTCTTTTTTTTTATAATAGGACTTGTATCTACACAAATGAATAGTCAGATTTTAACGAGTTCTACCTGTGTTTGATTGATTATTTCCGATAGTATCGCACCTTCTATAATATAGTAAATACGGTACGCTAGGAGGTACTGGATTTAAAACATCATTTTCTGAAATACCTTGTAATGAACTGTCATCGTATCTAACCCAGCCGCCGTAGCCTACGTGAAAAGCATCCGTCACGTAATGGCCTTTTGTTGTTTCTTTTCCAACATGATAGGTAACGGCAAATAATTTGTACTGTTTTTGCTTGGAATTTAATTTCTTTCCTATGTTTGGTGACAAGAATTCTGAAAAATACACATGTACATTAATATATATACATATATTGCATATCAAAATCAAATTGTTTCTATCATTTTTAACGAAAAATTGACGAAAAACTTACTGGCATCCACTTTTAAATCTATGGGAAATTCAACTTTTTTAAATATCTTTGAACATCCATTAAGTTTGTAGTCAAACCACTTTAAATGTAATATAAGAATAACTGGTAATTCTTCCAAAGTGACTTGTTTCCAAGCTTCTATTTGCTGTTTTGTTTTACTACAAGTCATCCCTTCTAATTGATCTTTTCCAACCAGTATTTCAAGCGCTCTTGTCACAGATTCCGCCTTCTAATAATAATAATAAATAAATAAATAATGTTAATATTTTGAGTATGAGTAAAATTTAGAAATAAATTATATATAGTTAATAATTGTACTTCTATATCAAGCTGCAACGTGAAGAAAGGTTGAACATTGTCGGTTGGTTGTTCACCCATACGAGATACTCTAGATCTTAATTGGCCACGAAAAATATCAGATAACGGAGTCCGACCAAATTCGGTACATCGTGTGATAGATCCTTTGTTCTTTGGTCCCATTACCTGTAATATGTGTATATTGATTATATAATATACATATTTTTAATTTACAATTATAAGAATTTATACACAAAATATTTCTTCTTACTTTCCATTCTTCTTCCGCATGATTGTAATTAATGTTTGCTTCTGCATTAGAATTTGGGTTTGGTTCATTGTTTACTAATTTTATAAGCTGAAAATATTAGTTAAAAAAATCATAAGTTGTTGCGAACCAGTAGGAAAGCATCACTAAATGCCTTGTATATTATAAGAAAATAGTATTAATAAATCATACCTCTAACATTTCATCGTTAATACCATTTAAAAGGCAAGAGAGAAATTCTTCTGCATCTTCTTGGCGCCCTTCTACAGAAAATACTCCAGCAGATGAAGTATTTTTCAGCATAGTGTATACATAAGATGGCTCAAATGCCATACCGCTTTGTATATCTACAATTGAATTATCTCCTCGTTTGTGTACTCTATCTTTTCTAGCAAATCTTGCACTGTCTGATAGAGGTGTAAATTCATTAACAAATTTTATCCTACAAAATATAAAATATAAAATATATAAAAAAAAATACACACACACAGATCAAAGAGGAAATAAATACTAATAATATATATTATATACTTACATATTATCTATGAGAGGGGTGGATGAGTTTTTACAGTTGTTTTTGGAATGTGGCAAAGCCATAAGTAGATTATAAAATGGTGGACACGCTAATAAGGCTTGTAATATGCTATTAATGTAGCAATAATTGCTACGATTTGTTAAGCCACGCGGGAGCAAACTTACAGTTTGCTTATCCATTTGATAGTTTAATAAAAATTCTGTAATGAGAAAAAAGAAAAATGTAATTTGTATCTTTTTATAAATGACTACTATATTAAAATTGTTCAATTGTTTACTTACCACCCATTCTAAAAACTGTAGGATCATCATATTTGTTTAGCGTTAGTTCTGCTTGATCTTTTGTACGATCATTTGATATATTGTGCACATTTGGAGGAAGACTTTCAGTTTCAAGCGATGGACTTCTAATATGTTGATCTCTTTGTACGACTGTTTGTATGGGTGTTTTTGGAGATGTGGTCTGTTCAATTACAGGAGTAGTTGGTAATGGATTAATTCGTGCCATTGGTTTGTGAGTTGAAGGAGTACTTTGTAATTCTGAATTAGCTTTCTTGAGGACATTTGCAAAAGACATAGTTGATTTAATAGAAGGTAAGGAACTTGCAGTAGTAGATACGTTTGTAGGTATTGCAGAATTATTAGAAGCTTTTACAAGAGGCTCATCGGACATACTTTTGGATGGCCTATTTTCTTCAATTTGTACTTCGTTTTCAGCAGACTTTGATGTAGATGATGATGATGATAATGTTTTTATGAGACTGGTCTTAATCCTAGAAACGGTTTCATTTGTGTATTCTTTCTCACTCTCACCATTTTGTTTAACTTCAACGCTGCTATTAATATTTACACATGGTATATCACTTTTCTCTGTACCATTACATGCTTCGTTAACAGTCGATACAATATTATGCTCTATTTTTACATTAACTGGTGATACTTTAGTGTTGTTATTCGTATTCTTTTTAGTGGCAGTACTTTCATTCTCATTCTCAATGCAAGATTCTCTATTACTGTTATTTACAATAACTGTTGTCACAATATTGGTCTGAGAGGAATTCTTATCTTCGTCATTTGATAATTGATGGTTAGATAATTGATTAGATGGCTTAACAGATGAATATAAATTTTGTGGACGTTTCTCTTGCGTTTTAGC